CATTTCCTTCTGCTTGTTGATTCCCGTTATTGCCCTCAGTCCGTGTAGTGCCCACTTCAGTAGTTGAAGAAGTTGTAGTTATCCCTGCATTGTTAGTCCGATCTCCTTGTGGAGGATCTTCCAGGTTCTCTTCTTTTCGCTCTTCAGCAGTTTGGCTTCCTTTCCCTCGTCCACCAGCTGGAGAGGCATCCACATTTTGTCCCTCAGGCCCCAACGCTCCTCCTTTATTCTCGGTTTGCACATTACCACCTGGTGAAGGCGTACGTGATGGGGAATGAGTGTCAACAGCAGCATCTCCAAGGCTTTCAGTATCAGTAGGAGAACCAGATATTGCAGGATCATCACCTGGAGTTTTGACATGATTATCTGTTTCTTCTTTGACTCGTTCTTCTACCTTTTCTCGTTCGGTGAGTCCATTTTTCGTACCGCTGCTAACACTTCCCTCTTCTGGCTGTTCTCCCCTTGTTTTGTTTAGTGGCTCAGACGGCGGTTTCTTATCCTCTGGACGATTAGGTGGAACAATAGTTTTCACTCCACCATTCACTAAACATTTAGGATTATCACCATCCACAGAGGATGAACCAGATGGACAATGAGAACCGTCAGAATGTCCATCACCAGGAACAGATGGACGTCCAGGAGGAATTTCCTCAGGCTGATCCTTAAGAGCTTCAGCTTCATCAGCAACTACCACACAGCTGCAGACACAACACAGTGCTATCATCAGGACAAATAAGACATGGCGTACTGACATCATTACTTACTCCGTCGGTGTTACTACCTCCAAGAGGTGAACCAAACGAAACAAAAACAGTAAGAGGCAACAAAAACGTAAATAAAGAAAAGCACATAAAGAGAACAAAACGAAAAGGGTAATAGCAGATTAGGCATAACGGATAACTGTAACCATCACTCAGATAATGTCCAAATGAAAGAAACAAGCACACAATACCCACTAACAAACAGATAATCCCAATTAACCCCTTAAAAATGAAAAAAAAGAAATTAAGAGAACAACCATCAGAAGCACAAAGCACAGAAATAAATACCCCTTTCACTTTCAGTAGAACCGTGTGCAAAATTATGAATATATATGAATTCCTTTTTTATTTACTCTCTGCACAAAACAATTCAACGCATCATTGAAACCGAAACCACACTGCGCCCAAACAAAAAAATGTATGAAAAAAAACACAAATTGAGAGAAGCACCAACCGCACAAAAATAACACAACTCTCCATGTACACTGGTCTGTTCAAGCAATTAAGAATACTTTTGTATAAATCACTATTTTTTTCTTTTTTCTGAAGAAAGCATATCACCACAACGGTGCAGGTCAAAACACACAACAACCCAGTAAAATCAACAAGCAAACAAAGATATTAACCATTAGCCCAACTTACACAGTAAACACAGAAATACAACAACTATGGGTGTAAGTCTATATATGTGTGTATATACGCAATTATAAATATAAATTCATCTGTTATTATTATTATTTCGCTTTCACCATTGCAAAACACAATTCATAATCATCATTACAGTGCAAGCCCAGGTGCACACAGAGAGAGAGTCTCCAAGAACACACACAATGGAGTAGCAATTATAATTATAATTATAGGATAAACACAGAGAGAGCAAAAACACACACAAAACACATTAACATTAAGAAACAAAAAAAAAAGAAGAATAATCCCAACAGGTGGAAGATTAGTTAGACTGTAGGGATTATATGCAAAAAAGAAAACAAAGGATGACCTGAGTAACACCACACCACTACCATTACAATCAGCACACAAGAATACAGGCCAGTGTAACCACAATCAGTAGTGGAACACGCACCCACACAGAACTGCTGATACTGCTGCTGCTGTCTGCATCACCCTTCTTGTTGTTTGTGAGTTCAGGAGGAAGTGTTGTGGTTGTTGTTGTGGTGGTGGTTGTATCTGCATTAGTTGCTTTATTGGTTGACCCACTTCCTTCAGGTGCAGTGCCACTCGCAGCGTTTTTATTATCAGATTCATTATTCCCCTGAGTTTCTTGTGGTGATGGTGTAGCATTTGCTTCAGTAGTTGTTGATGAAGAAGATTCTGTTGGTGCACCATCATTCGTAGTTGTACTTCCACTTGATACACTCTGAGTGTCTGCATTCTTCTCATGGTTCTCCTGTCTGGCTTTAGGCAATGTTTTCTCTGTCTGTGGTTGGGAGGTCTGTGAAACTTCAGAGTTCTCTTCACGAGTACTGACAGATTGCAGTGCTGGAGGCCTTTCAAGTTTCTTTATTTCCTCCTCTGTTATTCCACCCTGTAGAGGACCAGTTGCACCCGTGCTTGCCAAGTCCCTCACTTCCATATCAGTTCTACTCTGATCATTCTGCCTGACAGCAGGAATAGTAACCTTCGCTGAGGCACTGAGAGATCCATTGGTCAGTTCAGCTGAGGCCGCAGGCTGTGGATGTGGTGCTGCTGCTGCTGGTAGTGGTGGATGATCACCGGGAGGAACAACAGGAAGAGTATGAGCAGCAGGAACTTCTTCCTCCTCATCTCCTTTTTCTTTCTCTTCATGGTGAACATCACCTGCAGACTGTACCAATTCGTGCCCCTTTCCTCTACCACTATCATCAAGTGCAGCTTCTTCAGTTTCTTGATGTCCTCCACTCCCAGTTGGATGAACACCACCCCTCAGGAGCTAAACTAACTACAGGATCATTAGCCAACACCACACCGCAAGTACACCACAGTGTAAACGTTAGTAAAGAAAGCAGGTAACACCTCACCATTACACCCTTTGCCATTGTTGTTGACTTCAATAGACTAATACAATAAAGAGATCAAGAGAGAAATGAATAAATAGTGCAGAAAACAAACGTACAAATAACAACACGAGAACAACATACAATAGAATTATACAAGTCACAACAATCAAAAAGAAAAAAAAGAGAACAATAAACAAACACCGACTGTAATTCACGGGATCCAAAAAAAAAAAGCAAAAAAATTAAAAACACGAACAACTGCCACAACACATAAAGAAACACAATATTACCGCTTTCCACGTTCATGTATAAGAAATTACAAATATAAATATGTATCCGTTATTATTATTTCTCTTCTTTTCACTGCAAAAAGCAGTTCATCATCCTCATTACAGTGCAAGCACACAGAGAGTCCAAGAACACACAATGGAGTAGCAGCAATAATAATATTTATAGTATAATCAAAGAGTAAAAACACAACAACACACATTAACATTAAGAAACAAAAAAAGAAAAGAGAATCCCAACAGGTGGAAGACTAGTTAGACTATAGGGTTCCAAAAGAAAAGAAAACAAAGGATGACCTGAGTCACACCACACCACCACATCACAATCAGCACACAAGAATACAGGCCAGTGTAACCACAATCAGTAGTGGCACACGCACCCACACAGAACTGCTGATACTGCTGCTGCTGTC